GAAACCCTCTTTCCCCCCACTCCCAATTAGGTAATACCCATCTCTAAGATGTTTATGACAGCATGACACAATGGAGGTTACTGACAACACTGCTAGTTTACTAAATGCATTTTATCATCTGTAAACTTAACATTATCAAATGTTCTGTAGCATCTAATGTTGATTACATTTTCTCATTGGAAAACTCATTATCATTTTGGATTGATAATTTACTAATTTTTATTTTAAAAGAATTGTAGCTCATGTTTTCTCTACTTGCAAAAAAGAGAAATGCCCAAGCGTTCCTTACTTCAGGTCTTAATTCCAGCTTTGTGTTGTGCAGACTTCTCCCCTCACTTCAGAAGTGACATATCTTGAATTATGATTACTCTCCAGCCTTTGCTGTTTGGGGGTTTTGTTTTTAGCTTCATTTGCAGAGGAGGACTTTTTTGAAGCACGCTGATATATTTTATTGGAGATACATACATATTCATGAATCTCTTTGATCGTAATGTCTGCATAATTCTCAGGTATTTTAAACATTGCAACGAGGCTTGAAATCTCACACATCTGTCTCAACCTAGACAAACGGTAAGGCGTCGTGATTGTTCTTAGCTGCATTGCTGCTACATAGGTGTGGGAAAGCTAAGCTGAAGACTTGAGCTTTGTGTATCTTGAATCGTGCTATGGTACATGATCACACACACGGCATTTGCTTGCAGAGTGCATATCCAGTTGGGTAAGATTCTTGTTTCCCGAGTTCCTCTTCCAGATCAGATTGATTGTCAGTTTTGGCTGACGTTTTTCAAAGGAGGCTAAGGCAGAGAGCTGCAACCAACAGGTAGACTTTGTTGAAATATAATGGGAAGAGGTTATCTGAATGTCTTGTTTCCCTTTTAAAAGTTTTAGCATTTAGAATTCCAGTGGACCATAACTGTCCTACTGTGACTTTGGAGAAGGCAGGAGAAAGCTAGTTGAAGGCTTTGAATGTGATGGAGATCTGAGAATGGACTTCTTAAATGGAGCTGTAGAGAACGTGGTATTAGGTAGTGTGTTTGTGATGACCTATTTTGCACTTTAAAGGTTGTAAATGTTTTTCTGAAGGGTACATGACAACTTTATTGTTATACAAGAGAATAAATGTGTTAAAGAATTTATTCAGGACATAGATATGTTTGTTTCATAACTTCATGTCTGAGTTATCTACATGACTGTAGATGTCAGAAGTTTTGTCTTTTTTCCTGAGATGTTTGTGTAACAAACAGCAACAAAGAGCTGCCACAAACTGCAAATCATTTCAACAATCAAAAAGTCTTAATAAGGAGGGAATGATATTGAGAATACGAGTTCTTAATGGAATTTCCTTCTACTGATCAACACCAACTCAATATTCTGTGGGTATAGCTCTAGTAATCATTTTTTAAACCAGAGGTTGGTTTCCATGGCATTCAGAGACCTGGGACATAAGATTGTCCATATCTTAAAATGAAGTGATTTTTCTGTATTTTTTAAAATTCAATATTCTTGTTTTCAGTGGAGTTCTATACACCTCCTGAGTTACATTCAAGGTAATAGGGTGATAGGTGAAGTGAGGGCTTTAGAAGTTGCAGAACTGTCCAGAGCAACACACTTGTTTCTGAGAGGCAGGACATGGCATCATCATTAGCATTTACCCCTTTAACTTTCTGCTGCCAGATAAGGCACATTTCG